ATGATGATGATGATGATGATGATGATGATGATGATGATGATGATGATCAAGTCGTTGGGACTAGAGGTTTGGTGGTTTTGCACGCAGCCAGGCCTGACCAGCAAGTGGGATCCAGAAAATGCAACAATCTATATAATTCGATTTAGCTCGTTCAACTTCCTTGTGGACCCTGCCAGGCAATTGATAATTCACCAAATCTACTCTTTGCAGTGAGATTCTCCATTCTCCATCATCAGAATCCAGGACGAGCATAAGACAAACGTATTTGAGACAGACTGTGTTTTGGAGGTTTTTGATAAAGGACGGTTCTTGGAGTGAGAAGAGCGGTCTGAGGTGTTTGTTTGGAACAGGTTCTTCCCATAACAACAATGACAAAGGACAAACACTGGCGTTTCAGCTGGCCGGCAGGTTGGATGGAAGATCTATTGTTGGTCTTCAGTGCTGCTTGGGCAACGAACGAGTTGACGAACGAGTCTTTGGGCACTTTTGAGCAGTGCCTGGTACAGTAGGAAACGGAGGTTTTGTTTGTTTTTTTGTTGAGTTTGGGAACTGTTTACTTGATTTGTTTCTGACGGCTTTTCTTGTTTTTTCATTGCTTCTCGTTGCTTTTCTGAAAGGGTGCTCCCGCTTTTCTTGTTTTTTTTTCTCGGTGGTATTCTTGCTCTTCATTGCTTCTCATTGCTTTTCTATGGTTGCTCTTGCTTTTCTTGCTTTTGTTGTGCTTTTCTGTGCTAGTTTTACTTGTCCTTCTTTGCGCTTGGCTGTTCTTCCTGGCTTTCTCCTTTACTTTCCTTCTTCTCGTATTTTCGTGGCGTAGTGATTCCTTATCGTATTGTTATTTTTTTCTCAGGTCTTTGTTGCTTTCACTTTTGATAAGTTGTTTTTTTCAGTGTTGTTTATGCTTTCTTTTCTAGCTTTGTATGATTTTCTCATTCTTCTCACTCTTTGCTTTCTGCTCTACTGGTGGTCGTGTTCTAGTGGACTTTTAGGATCTTTTAGGCAGTATAGTCGTATATTTATTATATATATAGTTCCACTGAAGGAGCTATAGAGAAACCGCGACCGCACGAAACAGTCCACAACCGCAACGCTTTTCCTGTTTTACTTAGGGAACTATATACAGTATATATATATATAACCAGTGCCGCAAAAGCAATCCCAAAACGCAACCAAAAAACACCAAATAAAACCGCACTCATAGGAAAGCAACTCCTGTTTTGTTTTAAACGTTCTTTTTTGAGGTCCTGGTGGAAAGAATTGGCAACCCATCGCACTTGATGGAGGCCGTGGATCGGCCCTGTCACCGAGTTTCACTCGAAGAACCGATCGACCCCATGGGCAACTGCGGGGTCGATCGGGCAACGGCGCAGGTTTCGTCACCCTGAAGGCCTTGAAGATTTGATTGAGAAAAGAATGCCCATCCGGGATCCAGTCATACCTTCTCAGGTGATTGGAGACACTGTCATGGAGGAAGGTACTTGGATGTATACCTTGGATCCCTCCGGATGAAGAGAAACCATATTTTTTGGGTTTCGTGTCTACGCATGTCTCGACCTGCCCATGCATGAAGCATGTTCGGTCCAAGGGTTCCTTCATGAACAGACTGTTCCATCGAAACGTTGGTGATCGCTATTCGCGTTGGTTCCTTCCTAAACTATGCAGACCCTCCCCCGATTACTTACAGTGTTTTCAGAGTAGATGGCACAAAGCCCTACATGTTTTGAAGATGAGGGTTCACATGTACATGTGTATATATAGATAAACCGCGGACATTGGGGAATGTCCTGTCTACTCTCCATCCACAGAACACACATCAATTTCCAATCCACACGGAAACGAGACAATGCGTTCCAGTTCCACCCTCAAGATTTTGGAGTTCCCAAGAACCTTCCAGTTGGCACAGTTGAAATGCTTTCAAGGCCATATTGATCATATGGTCACTTTCGTCAGGATGGAAGACCAGGATCATCCATGGAAAGGCTGAAAAACGGACATAGCGATTTGTAGTGTAAGAATGTGTAGGAAAGCTAAGAAGAAGAATCTACATACCGTGTATATTATGTGTGTGTATGTATATGTATGCTACTCCCCCCACCCCCAAAGGTCTACCATTTGAGACCTTTGAAACACATATATAACAATGTATATCAATTTCATACAATTATTTTGGCCTTTGGCCTATTATATACTATTATTTTTCGTGCGTCTTAAAAGCACTGTCTACTTAATACACAGCTAACATATCAAAAACCTGACTTTTTTGGCAAGACATCTCCTTATTTTATTCACAGAATATGTTTAACTTGTTTCTACAAGTATAGCTAGTCTATTCCAAAACATGTCCTTTGAGTAAGTCTTTCAACCAGCAAAGTTGAATTCAGCCTTCGTGAAAGGCACCTCTATGCCAAACACCTTCATGGAACTTTGCTCAACCCAATTGGTTACAGTCAGTAAAGGGGTCTTCTTAAAATCAGTGAAATAATTGATTTAGATGCCTTCCTGTCAAAGGAAATTCATCATGCATGCACCCCTGAAGACACGTTTCATTCAACAAAAGCTTTGAATCTCCGATTCCAAAGGAGAGCAGAGCACTTTGAACAAGCAAACTCATGCCCGAGTATCCTTTCATTCACAAAAGATGTTGCATTGATCTCTTTTATTTAGCAGTCACATTCCTTATCACCAGAAAATTGAATTTCTATGTGCTATATGAGTCATACTCTTCTTGGTTGGTTCCTCAGCTTTCTTTTCAACCCTTCCCTAGTGATATTTACTTGTCCTCTTTCCTCAACAAGATAGACTTGATGTTCTGTTCCTTGTCTTCGATAAGCCCGTCCAAGTCTAATTAGGTTTGTCACTTGACTTTCTTGTTTCTGAGAGGAACTTTTTTGCTTAATTCTGTCCTTTTTACAAACATGTTCTTGCAACATGAAGTTAAGAATAAAAGGTGTCAGACCCATTGGACGGTGATTGGCCGAGCAAACATAGTCACGGTTACTTCAAACATCTTCAAACATGGTTTTCATACAGGCAGGTAGGTAAAAGCATTGATTTGGATGTGTCCTTGTCAAAAGGAATTGATGCAGGACATGAGCTGGAAACCCGACGAAACCCCGACAGGCTCAATCACATGTTTTCAATGCCTAACTTTCACAGAACCTCGTCAGGCTCAAAAAAACAATCTATGAGGACCTGTTGGAAGGTCTGATGCAGAAAGGTGAATTCGGATGCCACAATTGACGTGTGAAATTAACACTGATCTCGTTGTGTCCTGCTTTAATTGATGCTTTGAAGCAACCACGACATTGCATGGGGCTATGTAACCACAGTACCTGAATGCTAACGTGACTAGTTTATAAACTCTAGCCGCTCTAGCCTGCAGTCATCAACTTTTCCTTCCAGTTTGCCCCGTCAAAGGGCGGGGTCGACTTGAACTAATTGTCTTTAAGGGTGGAACATGTTACCCATATATATAACCAATAAATTAGAACCCATACTTGAATAGGCTTCCAAATAGAATTCAACAATAACTTCTTGGAAATAACAAGATGGAACCCCCGAACCCGAGTGCAAACACATACTCGAAAACAAACGCCCAATCAATTTTTGACACTCTTGTAGGAGACACTTTTGTGGGACACTCTTGCGAAACACTCTTGTAGGACTCTTATGGGACACTCTTGTGCGACGCTCTTGTACGTCACTCTTGTCGGGCACTCTTGTAGTCTTGTAGGACGGACACTCTGTTTTTTTTTTTACTTTCGCATAAGCCGGAGACGTCTGTCTGTGGCTGCCATGCAGTCGAACTAATTAGGTCGTTTTTGTCCGCAGTAGTCCATTCCCATGCCAGCTTCGTGATTGAAGTCCCCGGTCAGCTCTTCACAAACCTCAAGAAACCAATCAGGCACGGGAATGCCATCTGCGGGCGGAGGCTGGCTTCTCACGAAGATGTCCCCAAGTACAGCACATAGGGCTGCTGGGTACTCCTTGAGATGAGCAGTCTGCCATTCTCCTTTCTCATTCAGACCGATGGATACTGCCTTAGGCAGGGAAGAACATCGGCCAGCCACAAACAATTGCTCAGCTTCGTCACACACATTGACGAGCAGAAACTCCGTCGGCTTAGGGGATGTCGCGTTGAAATGCCCTTGGAGCACCCGGACCCTCTTGCAAACCGAAAAACGGAGGAGCAGCTTGAATATGGCTAACTTCCAAATTGATGGTTGGGTCAAATCCTGCCCATCTTCCGCAGGATGCTCTAGCACAGCCGTCTTGCAAGTGAGAACAGCAAGGAAAAGCATCTTCACTGCTACACCTAGAAGCCGGCTACCAAATCGAACTTGTTGGTCTTCTTTGGCTGTAAGATCAAGTCGACCAGTAGGTCTGCAAGTCTGTCGAACACGTCTCGGACCTGCAACACGTCCCTCCAGCATCCTCCCTCTCGCCCGTGACCACGTTTCACATGGAGGCCCCCCGAGGAATCCCCAGATCACATCCTCGAAAAAGGCACGCCTGAACAGGTCATAAGTCTGAGGGCGACACAAATCTCCATACGTAACGTGAAAAATTATGTCGATGCTGATGGCTCTCGCTCCCCTTTGCTCCACTTGCTCTTGAAAGTCTCCAGCACGCCTTCTTCCGCTAAAGATATGAGCAAAGATAACAGGGTGGTACTTTGGCATTCGCTTCAGTGGCAAAGGAAAGGTCTCCATCCTAGCCGCGGCTTGTGACACCACATTGACGTAATCCACTTGGTGTCTCCGCCCATCTTCTCCTTGCTGGAAAAGCCATGCTGCCGAGAGAAGAGACCGCGCCTTCTCCAGGGTCATGAGTTGTCCGAGCGTCAATCCATCTTCAGCTACTTGACAGCTGAATGAGGAAAGTAAGGAGACCATTTCTTCTGGATACAGAAAGGACGAGGACAAGGTCTTCTGCAGCATGGTCAAAAGATCTCCATCATTCTGACCACGTACCAACGCATCATTCCAGGCTGCAACCAGTCGCTGCTTCTCGCCATCGATGACAGGATCAAATGGTCCCATACTCACAGCTTGCTGCAACGGACCTTCAGCTTGGAAGTAAGGGTCTGGCATTGTGGTCTCCTTTCGGCCCGCCGCACGGCTATTCAGACCTGGAAGCGGGTCTAAAAGACACGGACCGTCAGAATATCTTCGAAAACAGGATTCACTTCTTTTCACATGGTTTGTGAGGTTGATTTGCGACGAATAATGTTTCAGGCACCCTTTACATTGGAGGCCTTCCACATAATGCCGAACAGCATTAACCCGACGGTGCCTTTTGAAAGAATGCACCGACATGGCTGCCTTGCTAGAAAAGCACTTTTGGCATAATGCACAGAAGAACTCCTTGACTTCGCTTCCAGCAACTTCCATCGGCAAGAGCGAGGCCGCTTGTAGCTCCAGAACTATGTCACGGTGCCATTCTGCCCATTCAGAGAGCCTAGCCAAATGTGCTTTCGCTCTGGCAACTCCTTTTCTCACTAATCGTTTCCATGCCTGTCCTTTCTCGTGTGCCCACCACATCATCAACTGCCAGTCTTGTGGAGTTCCTGAAGGAACCCCATCATCGGGGCAAAAGGCTTGTAGCCACTCCAAGTCCTCCTGGACCTTAGCGTACCAAATTGTCTCTTCTTGCACAAGATGCCAAACTTGAGGTTGCCCAGAACGAATAAGCTGCATAATATACCGCAGACGTGCCTCTCTGAGCACAAGCTCGCAACTGGGAAGGGCCAAGGCTGCTCTTGCCCGAGCTCCACTCCACTCGAGAGCTGGCTTACCAAAGTGCATAACCGCAATTCGTTTTTCTAATTTGCCAAAACCTTGCTCGAGCTGGCGAATCTGCTTCTGGGTCCGTGGCATCCAAAGAGCACTGCTGAAGATCATCGTGCTATAGACCAAGGATCTCACCATGTTCGACTTCAAACTCAGATCAATCTTTCTGTTGGCAAAGACTTGTGTTCGAAAGCGAGTCAAGACATCATGTGCGCCAGCGAACTTAGTTCGCAGATCAAGCACCATTGATCCTCCTTTTTGTAGGATGGTTCCCAGGTGCCGATAATGACCCACCACATGCAACGGCTCACATATTGTCTCAGACTTCAAGTCGAAGATGTTATCCTGCATAGCAAGCTTCCGTCTGGCAGACAATGCCCCTGGCCCCTTGAGTTCCAGCAAAAGCTCCGTTTTTCCCTTGGACATATTAGGCCGAAGTCCAGCCGTTGCAAGCGAATGGAGAACAATCGTGCAGATTTCAGGCGCCACCT